ACGTAAAGATCTTGCTTGAAGATATTACTTTGTGAGATAGAGCTGGTTCTTAATTTCATACAGTGATTCTTACAAAGGTCACCAGAGATAAGGGGTCATCAACAGTCCTGTTCCTCTCTGGGAACAAGTAAGTATTGATGAGCATGTTGCAGGAACAGGGATGTAAAGACAGGTGATGCATTTTTTTTGATCATGGGGACAATGCAGCAGGAACAGATCATAAGCAAAACAAACACACAAATTAATGGTGTTAGGACCCTAACTAACCAAGCTTGCCAACCACCGGCTGTGAGCCAAGTCCACCCTCACCGGAAACGAGTCCGACTTACTACCGGCAATGCGGACCAAGCTCTGAAACTGGTCGTACAGGGACCTAACAGCCCGTATCAATGGGCTTGGTACCYCATACTCCCGGAGTACCCCCCACAGGTGTCCCCAAGGGACAYGGTCGAATGCCTTCTCCAAGTCCACAAAACACATGTAGACCGGTTGGGCGAAATCCCACGCACCCTCCAGGACCCTGCTGAGGGTGTAGAGCTGRTCYGCTGTTCCAYGACCAGGACGAAAATCACACTGCTATCTGAGATTCGACTATCCRACGGACCCTCTTCTTCAGAACCCTCAATTAGACCTCACCAGGGAGGCTCAGAAGTGTGATCCCCCTATAGTTGGAACACACYCTGCGGTCCCCCTTTTTAAATAGGGGGACCAYCACCCMGGTCTGCMAAKCCAGGGGAACTGCCCCCAATGTCCACGTGATATTGTAGAGTCGCGTCAACCAATGCAACCCCACAACATCCAGAGCCTTAAGGAACKCAGGGCGAATCTCATCCACCCCCGGCGCCTTGCCACCGAGGAGCTTTTTAACCACCTCKGTGWCCTCRRTACCGGAGATTGGAGAGTCCCACCCAGGGTCCTCAGGCTCTGCTTCCTCATGGGAAGACATGTTGGTAGGATTGAGGAGATCCTCGAAGTATTCCGCCCACTGACCCACAACRTCCCGAGTTGAGATCAGCAGCACACCATCCCCACCATGAATAATGTTGGTGGTGATGTTACGATGTTTAAGTTTTTTCTTTGATTTAGAAGCTTAAAGATTGAAGAACGGTAAATCCTAAAAATCAGTTTGATCAATAGTTTATTTAAGGTCAGTCATTAGTACAAACATTTGATAAATAAGTCAATGTCATGGCAAAACTAATTAGACATGAAGGAAGACACAGATTTTTATTTATTTATTGCAAATGTGTCTGTAGGAGAAATCCCAGATATGAGACWGTTCCTATAATTAGAATATGCCTAATCTCAGATAGGACAGTGCTGTTTAAACAAAGCATATCAGAAAATGAGATAAGGCTGTTTGTTTCGTCTTTACTGGAAGGTCTTATAAATTAGAGAGTGCAGCATGACCCGAGATATGAATATTAACAAACGACAACTCTGTTACACTTAATAAAGTTTATCATTGAATCTTACTCATTTCCGACAATTGGATTGTGTCAAAAACATTGTTTTACTTATTCATCGTTTTATTTTGGTGTTTAATTTAAACAAAGCACAAGATTATGAAATTGACGTACGTGGACTTGAAATGATTATTGGGTGTCAGCCTTAACTTTTCAAAGTTGAAAATATTAAGTAGACTAAAAGGACAGCCTAATAATTTTACCACATTATTACGCGGTAGTTATTCAGTAGTTTTAAGTTTTTATTTAATCAAAGTAGCTACTATCATAGTTTATGCAAMGCAAACTTTCTCCCACTAATTTTGCATGTGTCAAAAATTTATCAACCTCATATTAGCAGAAAATAAAGAAATCCTGAGGTTAATGACACACCAAACGTGCAAAACATCAGGTTAGTTTATGACAGAAAAGCCTCAAGCAGCCAATCAGAGCCCCATTTTCCTCCTCTAAGCAATTGGGGGTCTCTGCGGACGAGTGGGCGTGTCACAAGGAAAGGCGATTCTAAAGCGACACACCTGATTTGACGGACTTTGTTAAAGGGACACACCTGACTGGAAAAGCAAAAAAAGGAGTGACACCGTACGGCACCACCTCATTGGACAAGAACAAAAGGGGCGTTACTGTACGGCACCACCTGATTGGACAAGAACAAAAGGGGCGTTACTGTACGGCACCACCTTTTCTAGAGACCCCTACTTGGGTCACATTTCTCCTGGTTAACCTTAGTGTTGGGGTCAGGGTCAGGCTGTAAATACATCAAGCAGGATCTAAGGAAACCGTCATGTAGGCGTCGTAGCCCACAGTGTTTATGCTTTTGACACACCCACTCTTGTGACACGCCTACTTTGATTCCGCAGATGACCCTCTTCTCTCTCTAAGACGTGGCATGAAGTCCGGAAGAAACACATCCGCTCCTCCTCCCCCTCCTCCTTTATCCTCACTCCTCCGCAGGTACCGGTTCGACAGACGGTCCGGCTGCTGGTTTGCAACGATGTGGCTGGTCGTGTTGGTCAGCTTGTTCCACTTCGGTTCGGCTTACGACGTGGACCCGAACAAACTGGAGGGCCTGGCGAGGGCGAGGGTGGAGGTACGCGAAGGGTTTCTTCTTCTTTATTATCCCTCTTCAGGATGAATTCATCACAAGAATATTTATTTAGAGCACGAGACGAGAGTTTGATCAGAGGTTGTCATTTATGTGAATGGATGAGCTTTTATTCGGCGCATGCRTGAACGATGTCTGCTGTAATAAACTGGATTCATATGATAAACAGCATGGAGATCACCAGACATAAGTCAGAGAAACAGTCACTTCCTGTTTTAGGGAAGAGGACAGGATGATTTTGTTTGTGTGTGGGCGCGTTTCTATCCGTTAGSAAAATATCTCACAAAATAATTGACTGATTTTTTTTAAAACTCACATATAATCACCGGATGTACCCCTACAACTGATTAACCTTTGCAGTCAACCTCATTCAAGATGGCCTCCACAGCCAGCTGACCTTAAAACATAAAATTAACAATAATTATAAACTTTTATTTGGTAATAACTGAGAATTATCCCCAGCACATTGCACAACAGTTTTGTCTGTTATTGCTGAAAACTTTGGCATCAAACCCTGTCTGTTAGCAAAATATCTCACAAACCAGTTGATGGATTTCATTAAAACTTACAGAAATTAATCACTGTATATACATCTATAACCAATTAATATTCAGAGCCAACACAGTTCAAGATGGCTGCCACAGCCAGTCTCAATTACTCGTCACATAAATGGCTATAATTCTGTTTTTACAGCCACTGAGCTAAATTTGATATTGTAGTAGCTGAGAGTCATTTACATTTCACAAGATCTCACAAAGTTTGACCAAGATGTTTGCTTTAGACCTTTATTAATGTTGGAAGGAGTCTGTGAATACTGTGGGCAAACAAACATTTTTACCCCAGGGTGTCACCAAGTTCAGCATRTCTGACAAAAGGTATAATGTGATGCTGTTGCTGCATTAGTCACACCTTTTATACCTGTGGCTCAGCTCAGGTATCTGAAATAAAAGGTCTGATGTTCCTCCCAGAGGGCCAGCTGAATCTGTGCTTTGTGCTAAAAGCTGTGACACAGATCTTGGCTGAGGAGGTTTTAGGAAGAAACAAAATCTGATTACTAAGGAGTCTTGTTGTTTGTAGTCATTTCTTCTGATTGTTCTCGTTGCAGTCCTGTGGTGGATGACAGCTGAACAGACTCAGAGAGGTAAGTTACCCTGTTACATAATCATCTGGGGCAAAACGGACAAAACACTGAGATCCAGTGTCAAAATCAGACTGAATTTGAATCTTAATCTGTCTGCAGGTCAAAGCCTTTGTGGTCCAGGACATTCCTCTTTAGTATCCTTTTGATTTTGAATCCGAGGATGGCTTTTTACTCTTTCGCTCCTTTTAAAATTCCTTGACCGCCTTCCCTGCAGCCATAACCTGGTGATGAAGCACATTCCTGGAGCTGACCCCGAGCTTGTCCTCCTGAACCATTACTATGAAGAACTAGATGTAAGAGCTGTTCATTTATGTATTTATTTATGAACTCGTTTCTGTTTGTGTCTGCGTTGCCAAAACATTTTGTGCACCGGAGGGATTTTAATAAAACTTTCAGAAATTTATTATTTTAATGTGTGGTTATAACTAACTGATTCAACTTTTGGAGTCAGCCGCGGAGTGTAATAACACATCCTGTTCTGATAAGGTCAAAACGGAGCGATAACGTGTTCTCCCTTCGCAGCGGATCGCCCTGACTGACATGACCCGCTCTGAAATCAACGAGCTGCTGGGGAAGCTGGGTTTTTACAAGAAAGCTCAAGAAGACGACGAGGTCCCGGAAGAGTTCCGCTTCTCTCCGGCCAAAGACAGCCCGTTCAAAGATGAGCCCACATCCAAACGCTCCGTCTCCGACACAGAGAACACCTCCTCTGGGCCTGAGGCGCAAGTCCAGCACACTGACCTATAACCTTGAAGGACGGCTAAAAATAAACTTTGGCCCACAACCAGCTGATTAATACTGCTGCTGTTTGTGTCTCACAACAAGATTATAGATTAATTTGTGGAAGTAGAAGGGAAATCGTAGTAATCTCCATAATGTGAACCACTTCTTGTCAGTACAGGTCATTTTTAGACTGTTTTTCTACAACAAAGGCTCAAAGTTTTATTGTATTCATGTTCCATAATGTGTAGTTTGTCTTCGGTACTGTATACCCACCTTCTTTGAGTTCTTGTGTGTCTGATTGCTCCTTTCCTGCTGTGAAACTGAATGAAGCTTCAGGCTAAAAATCTGACTGGTCTGTGGCTGATGCTGCTTGTTCTGGTGGGTTGGACTGATGCACACACACAAACTCAAGTGGGAAAAAATTATTAAAACAAATCTGTAATCCCTGCTGTGTTTCATGTTTCGGAGTATGAATGATTTTGATATAAAGTAATCTTCCAAYACAGGTTCATTTCTCAAACTGGTTTAATTAGGTCATATTTAGCTGTGGTGCACAGAAAACATGAAAAGCACAATGTGTTTAAGCTCTTATATACACACACACAAACACACTGCTTYTGTGGAGGGTTTTGTTTTTCACTTGCAAGCAGTTTGAGTAACTTTAAAACAATTCCTCAAGTCTACCAAAAAATAAAAACATTCTAAGTAACAAGTTTCTTTAAAATGAACTTGGAACAATTTCAAACATCTCAATTAGAACAATTTTACAAGTCAAATAAAAATATCTTTTTTATCTTGGCTTCATGTTAAATGATCAGTTTCTTTTGTGATTAATCATGTCCAAACTAAAAGCTGACAATTTAAAGCCTACAACAATAGCAAAATCTAAAAAAAAATAAAATAAAAATTTGTTACTCAAGCATAATAAGAGGCTCTTTGTGACATTGAAAGTCCTGTTAATCTGCTGCAGATATATTTTAGACAAATCACTTACAGACCAGCCAACAGTAGATAAAAACTGTGCAGGTCACTCTCATTAAACTCAACTGTTGTAATTTATAAAATGACAGTAAAATGTTCTCAGTAGATCAGGAAGTTAAATTATTTAGGCCCTGACTACAGTGACAGTGTGAAATCTACTTAAATATTCAAGGAAGAATATCCCTGTGCTCCTGTATAAAAAAACTATGCTTATAGATTTAGATAAATGTTAAAAAAAAGCAATAACTTAATATTTCAAGGAACCAGAGTTTGGTTTAAAATGAGGGGGAAAGTACCAGAATAAAAAGCAAATCATGCATTTGAGTAAATGTTTCCGTTTCAGTGGAATTACCAACCTAGGTGCAGACAACTTTGAAAGACTTGGAAAACAAATCAGTATAAATACATAATATTTCAAGGAACCAGAGTTTGGTTTAAAATGAGGGGGAAAGTACCAGAATAAAAAGCAAATCATGCATTTGAGTAAATGTTTCCGTTTCAGTGGAATTACCAACCTAGGTGCAGACAACTTTGAAAGACTTGGAAAAAAAATCAATATAAATACATTAAAATGGGAAATATAAATATATTTCTCTTTTTTAAGAGGGTGGTGTAAGTAAATGACTGCCACATGTTTAGATCAGTATGAAGCCAAAACCAATATAAATGTTAAAATTTTTGTAGGCCCTAAAATATACGTGTCCTCTCTTCCTGTAAAAGAGGTAGACTTTGTTGGACATGGTTAGGTCCAGAAGAAACATWAAAAAAACACTGCCAACATATATATTCAGTACAATGACACACGCACACAAACTTAATCCCTAACTCGTCCATCAGAGATGTGCAACTCTTTGAGCCGGCCTCTCAGGTGGTCTTCTGGTGTCGGAGGAGGAGGAGTCCAGTCTGAGTGAACTCAGTTCACAGGTCAGAGGTCACAGGGGCGACCCATGGACATCTCATATCTTCGCAGGTGGTTAACCAGAGACTGGACGTAGGTGAAAACACATTTGGAGTCTGGTTTGTTGCCCATGATCATCATGTCCTCCACCTCCAGCAGAGGCATGCAGTTAGCGTGGGTCCTGCAGGACAACAGGACAGGGTGAGCTAAACACAAAAGACTGAGGAGAAAAGTGGATAATTTAGATTTCCATCATAAACTCTGTTGGGATTATTTATAATCAAACATTCTTAAAGGGTGATTTTTTTAGTGATAACAAATTCTCAAATACAAAACTGCAGAAATCTTTTCTTATAAAGGAGTCAGACTTTCTTCAAAAAGCTTCTAAAGTCAAGGAATGGACCAGTGTTGTGTTGACATGACAGACAACTTAACAAAAACTTATTTTAAAATGAATCTTTAGGCAACTTGTGACCAAAAAATTTTCCATTTAGTTTTGGTGAATCAATGAAAAACACTAATAACAGTTTGACACGTAAAACTGCACTTTTTGCACTGATGATTATCAAAGAGCTGTTAGCTAAAAAAGGGTCATAAAGTTCAGATCAACTGAGAAATGATGCATCTCTCAGTTCCTGTGTTTCAGGGGTAGTTCTTGTTAAAGACAGGACTTTCAGATATTGTTCATATGCTGTAGAGAATTTAGTTCCTTTTTCTTTTATTAAACGCCTCTGGTGTTCCCTTATTTATCCATGTTACAGTCACAGCCTGTTTAAACTGAACCATTGAACAATTGATTAAGACCAAAGATCTCTGGCTTCTTGGGAGCAAAATATAAGTATTAAAGAAAGTTTAAAACACTCGTACAGCGTTATAGTTTTTAGGGAAATAAAGCTGATGGAAAAAATTCATCTTGGCTCTAGTTCTTTTTATATACACATGTTTTTATGTCTGTAAAAAAAACTCAACGGTTCTGTATAAATAACCTTCAGTTCAGTGTTTAAATCTGAGCTATGCAGTTAGTGACCACATGGTGGCATTGTCTCCACGACGTAAACCCTCCGACTCATCATGAAGTAAAATCCTGAGGGTGAAATCTCRTGTGAGAACGAAAATCGTGTCAGCGGCATGAAAAATGTTTTGTCATTTATGGAGCTACAGAGAACAGCTACTCTGTACTTTAAGCGCATTTAAAAGGTTTTACRAGATGAGAGCATAAACAGCTGTAATCTCACACATGATCAGCTTCTTTCTCTGCTTTGTTTCTTAACTCCTGTGTTTGAAACGCTGTGATCTGGCAGCTCCTTTTAAAGTGCTGAGCTGCACATGGTTCTGGCTCTCTGCCTGGTCATAGTCAGGCTGTGCAGATACACACACACACACACACACACACACACACACACACACACACACACACACACACACNCACACACACACACACACACACACACACACACACACACACACACACACACACACATAAATGTAGATATGTTTGGTGCTCTGGACCTCAGAAGCTTCAGATTAACATGAAAGATCAAAAACCCAAAAGCATCCTCTAAATGAGATTTAACCACATATTTAATTTGCTTCCTTCCTTCTCCATATCTCTCAGAACCAAAATGAGGTTCCTTCAGAAACCTCGTTCCCCCCATCTCACCATGGATTTAATATAAGGTGGGGCGTGACTCTAGGAGGAGTTTTTGGTTTTAACCAGGCCCTTCGTCACCAGACCCCTGTAGAACTCCTGCAGGTACGTGTACACACACTTCCAATCGGGCTCGCGCAGCTTCACCATGTCATCCACATCCAGCAGCTGGGGACAGTCCACTAGTTTCCTGTGTCCACACCCGAAGGGGAGGGCAGGATGAGGGGAGAGGAACAAAGGGAAGATCCACAAAGAGAGAAGGAGAGGACAGGAAAGACAGGAGGACAGAAGGGAACACGATAAAAGTGTGAGGTAAAAAAAAGGGGGGAGAGAGAGAGAGAAAAGCATACATAGCCGTGAGCAGCCAACAACAAAAACATCCAGTGAGAGAAGACAGAGACAAAAAAAAAGAGCAAACAAAAAAAGAAACATTACATTCAGTGTTCATAATAACATCCATGAGCTGACATGCTTCATGAACATCACAATACACACAATCTGTGGCGTACACACACACATGTATATATAGGACAAAACAAAACGTCAAATGAGCACCATGTGATGCAGATTCAACCTTTTTGTTTGTTGTTGTTTTTTTCAGCTAATTAACTTTTGATCACAACACTAAGACTTTAAATAAAAAACAACAACAATTYTACAATTAAGAGACAAAAATGAAAATCTCGGGGTGACTAAGAACACACTTGTGCACAGGACGGTGTGTGTTGGTGAGGATTTACAGTGCAGTGATGATGCAACATAAAAAGTGGACAGACTGGGTGCTGTGGTTTGGTGACAGATCCTCACTACGGCGTCTCCCATCAGTTGGAACGCGGTCCTCAWTGGAGAACGTGAAAAGCACATTTAAAAATAAACAATGAGGAAGAGGGCATGAAAGGAGAAAGGTGAAAGATGCGGCTTCAACCTTTGCTGATAAGAAGGGGTTTATTTGCTCACGTTTCTCTGGCTGAGAGCAGACAGAAGATGTTGGTATGTTTGTTTATGTCAGAGGATGAACAGAGAGAGGACATCTGAAAAGTTATTCAAGCAGCCTTAATGGGTGTTTTAATGATCTGGGAGACACTGAGGTATCTGCTGAGGAGACTTCAGTACTTCATCCTGTGTGACAAATTCTATTAGAGGTGTAAAGAAGAAAATAAAGCTTCTTTATCCTGTTTCTCGTATTGTTTCAACCAGGTTAACCACATCCACCTCAACACAGCTGCTGATGAAATGCTTAGCGTACTCACTCTGCAGCGTTGAAGGCCACCTCAAAGTTTTGCCTGCGATTGCTGGGGCTCAGGGAGTCGTAGTCAAAGGCGTCGGGGAAGAAGCTGTGCACCAGGGCACAAAACGCCATCCCATTGCTCCAGCTGGATGAGAAGTTCTGAATGTCCACGTGCTAAGGCAAACAGGTAGGCAGCGCCGGAGAAAAAAAACATTCTGCTTAATCTCAGACCTGGTYCAGCTGCAGCTTTATTGGTTTGTGTTAAAGACGAGTTAAGGATCGCCGCRGACGTCTGGCTCACCTCATATGAACGCGTCTTGGCACGACACCAGTCGAGCAGCATCTGCTTGATGGAGTTTGCGTTCGGTACGCCAAAGCTGGTCGAGCGCTGCACCTTGTTTACTTTGGCTACAGCCTGATTCCCAGGGCTAAAACGAAAGATCGTTTTTGTTTTGAATATTTACATGCTTTGACCTGTGCCTTTGCTTTTTTTGGTCACACAATGCTGCTTTGTTTATCCTCACCCCCCTCCCTCTTTTTCCAGCCGCTCTATCATGGCTTTGCGAGCCTGCATGGCCGACGTCTTTGGCAGAGTTTGAGCCCTCATCAGCTCCTTGCGCCTCTCTGCCTGCCGCCGCTCCGTGGCGGACAACCCGCTGCTGCTGCCGCTTCGAGACGACGTGTCGTCCTCTCGATCAAACACACTGAGACAAAGACAGGTGTGTTAAATTCATTTGTGTGTTAAAACAAGATGCTTTGAGTTATTATTATCCTGATGCTCCAAGACCCACCTGCCCACTTTTTTGCTTGTGTTAGAGGATGAGGAAGAGGTGAAGCTGTACGATTTCGACTGGACTGTTCCTCCTAAACAAAAATTAGTAAGTTATGCCCATTATTACTGCATGAGGTAGTAAAAGAATTCCAGCAGGTGACGTAAAAACTCACGATCTGTTTTCTGCACAAAACTGGTCTCTACAACAGTGCTACGGGTTGATTTGCTCCCATCATCTAAAAAAAACACACAAGTACATGTAAAATTAGTTAAATGCAACAGGACAGGGTGCATTTATTCAGATTTTATTGTTGACTTTAAGCTTTTTGGGTTTTATACTTATTAATAAAAACTTTAAAAGGGAGACATTTGCATTTAAATCATTTCTTTTCACATTTAAATCCTTCAGTTGGGGTCCAGGTCTGAATTCCTCCTTACTGTAACTCCACAAGCCCCTCTTTCACCTCTTTTCTGAGGTTTGTCTCAGATCAACTCGTTTTGAGGCTGTCTCTTTAAATTCAAACAAGGCACTTCACACCCCRCCCCCCTCCAGCTTCTAGAGCRGTCTAGAATAGAGGGGTTTATGACTGTAGAGGTGCAGAAACTGTTTAATCTCCTTTTTTATAAATTAATGAAAAGCGAGGCAATATTGTAGTTGGTAAATCCAGACCTTATTTGGTAGTTCTGTCGCAAAAACATGACGTAATAGTTTAGAACATGTCATAGAAAATAGAGAAAACTGAACGGGTTGAAAAACATGACCCAAACAGAATATAAAGATATCTACGCAGCACCAGGAGAGACTAAATYAAACATTTCTGCACTCCTAGAGACTTCGTTCAAGCACACAACAAAATGTATTTAATGGCTAAAAACTTGATTTTGCATAATATGTGCCCTTTAATCGTGGTTGCTTGAGCTCTTCATACAGATTCAAATGAAGTGGAAAGAAGGATAAGAAAGAAACTACCAGACTGTGCAAAACGRTTTGTCTTGGTGACTTGGCTCAGGGTTGAACCATCTGCTGACTTCTCCASCTTCCTGATCACCACCTCTCCAGCTCCGGGCCCCGAGCGACCTGTCTGGGACAGCTTTTCTCTCTGCTGCCGCAGCTCCTGCATCCGAGTCTCGCGCTCTTTTTCCCTCTGGTCTGAGGTGGAAGACAAAGATACGACAGATGATGTCAGTGGAAAAAARGGAGGAGGAGGAGAATGAGAAGAGTTCCTAAACAAGCTGACAGCACCTCATCTGACTCCTGCAAAGGTGGATTAAAGAGGGGCTTCCAGATCAGAGAGCAATACATTTCACAAGTCTTTCCACAGTGCTGTTAAATTTCTCCAGAGCACAAAAAACACCCTCGGATGGGAGATTTAGCAGCTGTGCAAAAACTGTCAAATAACACGTCCTGCATAAATATCAAAGATCAAAGAGAGCAAAAGCACAGCAGAAGACTGCACCAAATTTAGAAAATATGGATACCTGCACTGGTGCTGTCAGCTTTACCTAAACTGGTATTTAAGCATTCTGTTGAGCGTTATTCTGAGGCACTTTTAGTGCTTTAAGTGTAATATTTAGGCTCATTTTATATCCCTTGCAGCAATCTATATGTTTTGTGTCACTGAGTGAAGAAGTTATTCACAGATATTCTGTAGCATAAGGAGAGTGAACAAGAGTTTCAGATTATTGAGTGTCAAAACCACACAATCTCCATCCAATTAGTGCTTTTTAAAACCAAACAATAGAGTGAGCACAGATACTTTACAAACCATGTAGGGGAACCTCAACACACAGGATTCATGCAAATTGACTAAACCATCCACTAAAACCAAACATTTAAAACTGTTCAAGCCCAACAACAACTCAGGCAAAAATAATTATCAATACACACAGCAGAGCACCTGCCCTACCCATTTCCTCTTGGGTACATCCCATCATGGCCTCTGATGGCAAAAGGGATAAAATTCAGTTCATAAAATGTGTGAAGAATCAAAAAAATTCAAGCCAAAGTGGTGATTTTTTTTACTGCAAATAAACTCTGATAAACTTTGATTTTTTAAAAWWAAA